CACGTTCAAGTTACAGGCGCATCACAAAATTAAAACATGAATTCACAAAATGAAGTTTCATTACTTATTGTATATAAGAAATACATGTGGTATATCTTACATGCAGTAAGACCGTATACCTCTCTAAATTTGTAAACATTGAATTCATTTGAAAATCAACAGAACTTCAAATAACTCGCTTATTAAAAACAAATAAAGAGCAATTCAAATTTGTAAAAATTCTTCTTCGAATATCTTAAACGGTTATTCTAAATGTAAAAAGTTAACTTCATGCTTTGTCGAATTAAAACTTAACTCTAACATAAATATTAAAACAAAAATGAACTTCAACTTACATTTAAAACGCTTAAAACTAACATAAATATTAAAAAAAAAATTACTTCAAAAACTACATATTTACACAATATTTACATGCGGTAGATAGCGTTTGTTAAATTATTAAAGGCATCCGCGCATGCCTTTAAACCTTCCCCCATTGTGTTCATAGCTTCGGCCAACGATTTCGCTACCTGCACACTCGCCGTACTTGTTTCAGCTAACAACTGTTGAAAGAGCATACGAATGTAATACTATTTTTTAGTATGTACAAAAAATTACCTTCAAAGCATCTGCTTGTCTACTTGCTATTTGTACATTCGCTGCACTCGACTCTGCTAGCATCTGTTGAAAAAGAACCGAAAAAAATATGTTATAAAATTTTACTTATGTAAAGTTAATAATAATAATAATAGATTGGCGCTTACACATATGTTAGTGTTTGGCCGATCTTCTCCTCCGACTTGTGGCGTGCGCCTTGATATTGTCACACAAAGCGGAGGGACCTACAGTTTTACGCCGACTCCGAACGGCGATTGTATTTTTATGAGAAGCTGTTTTTCATGGCAGAAATACACTCGGAGGTTTGCCATTGCCTGCCGACGGACGACCGCTGTTAAGAAAAAACTTTGTTCTATATTTTTTGCGATGTTGCTTTGACCAGGCTTTGAACCCGGGTGCTGCGGAGTGGAAACGCGCACTGCTTACCACTACACCACAGCGGCCACTTATGTAAAGTTACAAATATGTAAATTACTTTTAAGGCATTTGCTTGGGTCTGAGCAATTTCCAAAAATGTTTTTGGGCCTCGGTACCACCGTCCACACGCCTTCTTTTTGCACCTTTACGAGGCGTTTTTCCTGCAGGAGTTACAGGAGTCGATGTGCACATCTCAATGCTCACTTCGTGGGATGACATCTCGATGATGACACTTTCATCACTCTCTTCCATACGAAGTTGGAGTTCCTAATGACTTCCACTGGCACACTTTCAGACACAGTTTCATGGCCCTGCACATAGTCGCTACCGACAAGGGCAATCACACGCCTCTCTAGCTCAGTGGGTGGCTCTTCATTAATGGGATTGTTTCCCGTCATTGCCTGCTTTCGTTTTCTATCACGCACCTTAATACTAGTACGGCTCTTCAAATCCCTCCATACCTTTTTGCAAAACAAAATTTTAAACGTGGTATTAAATTACTAAACAACTTCTATATACTGTGCGCCATTGGTCGACGTTCTTCACCGAACCACCAAGGCTATTCAGCATTGACGCTAGCTCACTCCACTTCTTGTCGCAGTCCGACTTGCCATGAAGCTTCTGGAACCTTGATCCTGCCAATCCCGGCGTTTCTGCCAAAAAGTCCACCATGCGACTTAGTTGTTCTGCTGTGGTCCGGCTTCTCTTTTGAACACTGGGTACTGACAAAGCCATTCTATAATATGCGAAAATGGTTATGTCTAATAATACAAAATAAATAAACGTTTTATTTTACTTAATTTTTTAAAAGTATATTAAAATATTCAGAAAACTATGTGTATACCACTTTGCAAGCAAGGAATTAATTTGTTTTTCGTCGTTTTTCTTTCTGCTTTTCGCATTTTTTGACGTTTCGTTAAGCTGAGATGCCACCATTCTTTTATTGGAATATAAAGAAAATGTCAGCTGTTTAGTGTCGTTAAAAAAGAGTTACCGAATAACACAATCGTTACTTACAAAAATCGTTATATTAGACCTCGACAAATCGTATCGTTAAAAGTTAGTGAATTGCACTACAGGTGAGTCATTTCATTCAGACTCATGCCAACTGATTTGTTTTTCTGATAGGCCAAAGACCGAAGAGGCAAAAGGGAATTCCTATTCACAAAATCAACAAGACGATTCTTGACCATTAAATTTATAATTTTAACAGAAACGGAAATTAAGGAAATCGGGGAAACTTTGTATACAAGTAGGGTCCTTGCTTTTTTTAACAAAGGTACAATTTTGATAAATATCCAAGAATTTAAGACTGTATTAGATTGCCAGCATTTGTTCATGGCCACCAAAACCTTTTGGAAACCATTTGGACTAAGAGCTTTAAACATGTCATATTTAATGCCATCACATCCAGCCGCTGTTGCCTTAGATTTGCTGTTAAGAGCCAATAATAATTCATCCAAAGTGAAGGGTGTCTTAGATAGACTGACTGCAGGCATCGGAGCAAAAAGAAAAACATTTGAATTAACTTGTCCTTTTAAAAATCTTAGATAGTCCAAATTGCGTGACGAGTCCCATTCCCACAACGAAGAGTTTGGTTTTGTAGCTCCCCTAATTGCATTAATACCCTTCCAAAATTCCTTAGTATTGGGAACGTTGCTGAGTTCATCTAAATGCTTTTTATAATTTTCAGCCTTAGCCTTTTTAACCATATCTTTCCACAAAAAGAGAGCGTCCTTAAAAGCTTGAATATTGTTCAGGTTACAAAATCTATTTGGTTTCTGTCTAGCTGCTTGCATCCTCCGGAAGCATGCAGTAAGCTCATCCGTCCACCATTTTTTGGGAGTTCTATTTGACGAACATTTGTAGGTGACAGCCTTGATATTGTTCTGAAACGTTTTTTCAATTTATGGGAAATCAGGAGTTAATTCAGCACTTCCAAGGTTGGACAGTAATTTCTTTCTGGCAACAAAAGTATGCATTCTTGTTTGTACATTTAGAATTTCAATTAAAATAGGCTTATGATGACTTTTTCCAAGGTACACATTAAGTGTATTCCAGGAAAAGTTTGAGCTACACGCATTTACAAAGGAAAGATCTAAAACACTGCCGTTTTGATTGTGAGCTGCTCCTTGATTTTGATAAAAGGTAAAACTTTTGTTATTTAAACAATGAAAGGAGGATGCATTCAAAGCATCAACCAGAATTTTTCCCTTTGCACTAGTGAGCTCGTCTCCAAAAATTTCAGCACGAGCGTTGAAATCACCTCCAATAATCACATTGTTTTGTCGTTCACAGACAGTAAATAAATTGTCAATTTCATCTTTAAAGGTTTGTGTCGAAATTCTAGGTGCAAAATATACCGAAACAAAAATAAAATTTGGTTGCAAGTTAGTCGTAGTTATCACATAAATGTCTGCTGTTGAATGAAAATGTATTATTTTGAATTTAATATTGTTTCTGACAGCAATGGCGACTCCACCATATCCATCAGACCGAAACTTTGAAACCATGTTAAAATTTAGCAGCTTAAGCCTAAAATCATCTACGTTGATAGAAAAAACTTCATAAAAAAGACAAACATGTATTAAATTTGTATTTATGAACATTTCAATTAAATTCTTATTCGTTCTAAAACTTTGTAACGGGTGATTTTTTTGAGGTTAGGATTTTCATGCATTAGTATTTGACAGATCACGTGGGATTTCAGACATGGTGTCAAAGAGAAAGATGCTCAGTATGCTTTGACATTTCATCATGAATAGACTTACTAACGAGCAACGCTTGCAAATCATTGAATTTTATTACCTAGAAAAGTTGGCAGAAAATCCGTTTTTTTATCGACAAATTTTGTTCAGCGATGAGGCTCATTTCTGGTTGAATGGCTTCGTAAATAAGCAAAATTGCCGCATTTGGAGTGAAGAGCAACCAGAAGCCGTTCAAGAACTGCCCATGCATCCCGAAAAATGCACTGTTTGGTGTGGTTTGTACGCTGGTGGAATCATTGGACCGTATTTTTTCAAAGATGCTGTTGGACGCAACGTTACGGTGAATGGCGATCGCTATCGTTCGATGCTAACAAACTTTTTGTTGCCAAAAATGGAAGAACTGAACTTGGTTGACATGTGGTTTCAACAAGATGGCGCTACATGCCACACAGCTCGCGATTCTATGGCCATTTTGAGGGAAAACTTCGGAGAACAATTCATCTCAAGAAATGGACCGGTAAGTTGGCCACCAAGATCATGCGATTTGACGCCTTTAGACTATTTTTTGTGGGGCTACGTCAAGTCTAAAGTCTACAGAAATAAGCCAGCAACTATTCCAGCTTTGGAAGACAACATTTCCGAAGAAATTCGGGCTATTCCGGCCGAAATGCTCGAAAAAGTTGCCCAAAATTGGACTTTCCGAATGGACCACCTAAGACGCAGCCGCGGTCAACATTTAAATGAAATTATCTTCAAAAAGTAAATGTCATGGACCAATCTAACGTTTCAAATAAAGAACCGATGAGATTTTGCAAATTTTATGCGTTTTTTTTAAAAAAAAAGGTATCAAGCTCTTAAAAAATCACCCGTTAGTGGCGACAAATATTATGCAAGGCAACACATACATTAATTATTTTCACAACCTTTTTTGGCTTGTACTGCAAGGTTCCTAATAAAGACCGAAAACGAGTTTTAAGATCCCCAATTGTTCGTTCAACTATATTACGAGCCGAAGCATGTGTTTTGTTAAACGCGTGTTATATAGACAGTGGTTCTGGATTTCTATATGGTGTTAATAGAAAAGGTGCCAGAGCATACCCGGCATCGCCCAATAACCACGAATTGTGATCACCATCTCGATACTTCGTCATGACAAACTGTCTTGCATTGCTCATGCTCCATATAAAAAAGTCATGGCTAGAACCCGGATGACAAGCATCAATAGCTCTAATAACCATATTATGATCGCAAATCTGCAAAGTCTCCGCTCCATGAGCGTAATTATTTCTGAAATTATCTTGGAGACGGTGCTCCTTCCCAAAGCGATGCTTGAGTCCACTCCTACAGATCTTTGATACCCACCTTCGGCGAGGAATCGCAGCGTTGCTGCCAACTTCAAGACTGCGGGAATGGAGCTTCTTTTTACAAAAGGCTGCAAGTATCTCAAAATCATGAGGAACGCTTGCTTGTTTATTCTATAGAGCGCAATAAAGCTGTAAAATATAAATTAATAGTTTAAAATGGCGTTAGTATAAAAAACAACTTTTTATACTACTAACGCTGAGTCCGGTAATTCCATGGGATTGCTGTGATCGCGCAAAATTTTTCGCTTCACTTTTTCAGATGTTTGCTGCTCATTATTCAGCAAAATTGCCAATAAAACAATTGAACTCATGTTTATTTTCTCGGTTTTATTTATCCAAATGAAATTGACACACTTCAAAACAAAGTTGACAGATTGGAGGTTTGTTCCTTTTTTTTACACAATCGGATTCGATATTAACTTCGAAACAAAAGTTCCGATCGGGAATTGAATTCCGATTCCGATGCGATTCCGACTCGGATTGCAGAACAGGGCTGATCATTTCCACAATTGTTAGGGCAGTTGGAAAGAACTAGTTTCCAATCTGCACCTTCCCTTCTCATATTATTGCTTCAGTTGTTAGGGCAGTTGGAAAAGACTAGTCTCCAATCTGCACCTTCACTTCTCACATTGTTTGTTCAGTTGTTAGGGCAGTTGGAAAGCACTAGTTTCCAATCTGCACCTCTCTTCTCACATTGCTGCTTCAGTTCTTAGGGCAGTTGGAAAGCACTAGTTTCCAATCTCGTATTGAGGATTTGTTTCCATGCCGAGCCTCTATCTGATAGGTAGTGTTCGACAGTGATCAAGTAATGATCTCTGGAAGCTGGCAATGCTTTCACAATTTCTTGTTTGTGGCGGTAATTCGTTAAAACACTTTAATCCTTTGTAGAATATGTTCATTTTATCCACTTCTGTCCTATATAACGGCAATCTAAAGCTAATATTTTCCCTGAGTATGTATGAATGAGTTTCATTTATATATCTGAGATTGTCGCTCAGGTAGTCCGGCAACCGACCATTCTTTATATTGAACAAGAATTTCATGGCGTGATAAAAAATTAAGACTCAGCCAGTTCATATCGGCGAGCATCTCTCGTGTGGGTGCATCGTGACACTTATTCAGTATAAATCGCATTGCTCTGTTTTGAATTTTTTGTAACTTGTCGATTTGTGTATCGCTTGCCATGAAAAAGATCGTTGGACAATATGGCTGCGTTTCTTTATACATTCCGGATAATCCCATTTCACAGCCGGAATAAACAGAATGTGTTTGAAATATACGTTAACATATCATCAGGAACGTTCTAAAGAATAAGTAAACAAAAAAGTTTATTCCAAACGTTCAGAATGAATAAAGAAATTCAGCCTATATGAAGTGTGGTTCTATTATGGACCTATACACAAGTGTTTTATATCTTCTTCCTAGGTACTTACATGATATTTTCATGAGACCAATTTTTGTAGCAATTTTATTTACTGCATAGTCAACATGCTCATCGAATTTTAACTTATTATCAATGTATATACCTAGGTATTTAATGATTTTTACCTCCTCGAGCTTTTCATCTCTGATTTTTAAGCTATAGTTGAATGAGTTCGCATTAGCCACACTAGATAAGACCATGAACTGTGTCCTGTTCACATTCACTTCAAGTTCGTTTAAACATAACCATTTATATTAGACACTTATAAATGTATGTACATATAAATTCTGTACTCACCGCAGTGTGTGCTTCGCTGTTCTAATTCGATCGACGACTAAATCTAGTCGACATTTGCGCGAAAGAATTTGGCAATTTATATGCGCGCGCAATAGAACGGCGATTGACGCATTGCGGTAAGTTCACAAAATATGCACATAGTGAGTACATATGTAAGAGCGCAACAGGTTCTTGAGCATATTCACACTAAACATAAAAAGGGACAATGATAAATGCTGCAATGCGGTTACAAAGTATATATAAATATCAATTATATTGCATGTATGTACATACATACATGCATATGCGTACGGACAATCCGTGTACATATGCAAGTACATAAATGCAGGCGAAACTGGAGGAATGCGAATGCATAAATATACGTATACCCTACACATGACTACAGTGACTTTAAAAAACATGAAATTGTAATGACTTAAATTATATCGCGAAGCAGCAACATCCCCGCCTCCGTGAATCAGCCCGATTCACCACATATGTCCAGGACAGCCAGCTTCGACACTGCACGTCGTTTCACACTGCTTGTTGTTCTAACGTCGACTCGCCTCACTTGACCATCGGCTCCTGGATAAAGTCGTTCCACCTTACCTCTACACCATTCTCGCCTCGGTATATTAGGGTCGCATATAAACACTAGGTCCCCTTCTCGCAAAGGTTCCTTTCGTTGGCACCACTTGACTCGACGGGTTAATGTTGGTAGGTACTCGGCCACCCACCGCTTCCAAAAGTGGTCCCTCAACTGGCGGGCAATTCTCCACTGCTGGCGTAAAACACAAACTCGCTCCAAAACGTCTTCCGCGATGGGGGTCTGCGCGTTGTTTGACTCACCTAGAAGAAAGTCGTTAGGAGTCAAGGGCTGCTCTTGGTCGACGGATATAGGCAGGTGAGTAAGAGGCCGAGAATTTACAATATTTTCTGCTTCAATTAAGAGACAATTTAGCGCGTGCTCCTTTGGCGAAGCCTCCTTTAACGTCTGGCGTAATACTCTTTTCATGCATTGCACTAGCCTTTCCCAGGCCCCTCCTTCTGCTGGATTAAATTTCCACTCAACGCCCCTTCGTGACAACTCGTCCTGTACGTGAGCGCAATCGAACACCTCACTGAATCGCTTAGCTTCTTTATCAGCGCCGACGAAGTTCTTTCCATTATCTGAGCGCAGGCGTATAGGCGCACCACGACGATTTATAAAATTTCGAATGGCAACAATACAGAAATCGGTGCTCAAGTCATGGGCTAGCTCTGGGTGCACCGCTCGCACTGTCATGCATGTGAAGAGAGCCACCCACCTTTTCTCCGTACTGCGCCGGATGGTTACGATTACCGGACCAAAGTAATCTAGGCCCGTGTAACTAAATGGCCTTATGTACGGAGTAAGTCTGTCGATAGGCAATGGTCCCATTTGAGGCGCTACCGGCTGTGCTTTACTCAAGCGACATACCAAACAGCTTGCAACTACGCTGCGCAACAAACTTCGCAAACGTGGGATCCAATAGATACGACGAATCTCGCATATGGTGGCCTCTATATTTTGATGACGCATAGTAGTGTGATAGTGCATTACCACGAGCCTTGTAAAGTCATGGTTTTGTGGCAATATAATAGGATGTCTGGAGCTTATCGGAAGCCAACTCGCTGCATCTATGCGTCCATTCACACGCAGGATACCCTCTTCATCGATATGTGGAGACAGTTGTAGAAGAGCACTACTACGGGCGATGTTGTGACCATTCCTTATTCGCTGAAG